CACTCTACCACTTGAGCCATAGCACCCACTTCCAGCTTTTTCTGTGTATGTGGTGCTGAGGAATCGAACCCAGGGCCTCATGCATGCAAGGCAAGCACTCTACCCCTGAGCCACCTTCCCAGCCCCAGTGTTGGGAAAGTTGTAAGAATGACTGATAATCAGCTGTAAAGAGAATTTTTCTAGAAAGTAAGCATAGCAGGGATAGAAAACCTACAGACTACTGGGTATATGTTGGTATGTTTGGTTTGTGGATTCACAGAAACTATGTAAAAGACTTTCCCACTAATGAATGTTGCAGTCAGCTGACTGACAGGAAGGAAGACTTGTAGGGTGGGTTAAGGTCAAGCCCCAGGAAATTCCAGAAAGTTTTAAAATGTCTTTTCTCTCTTTCCTTGACAGATTATGATAAGTAAGGGCTCCTCAAATTTCTCAGTTAAAAGAGCTCAATTGAGACATGTCTGTCATAAAAGAGTGTGTATGCGTGCACATAGGCACACACACACACTTTTTTCTTTTGTTTTGGCCTTAAGTTTTCCTCCCTTAACAAATGTTTAAAGGAAACCCCTCCTTCTTCCTGAACCTCAGATTACTACTTGCAAATTGTGGATGATAAAGTTAATCTTAATTGCATATGAGATAATGTTGCAGATAGAAAGGTATTGAAAGTAATGCCCAGAGCTTTACCTGTGATCTCAAGAAAACTTGTTTCATCTCAGAAATGTACTTCTCCTCAGAACTAGGCAGTATAATTCTGACCCCAGAGACACTTCCCTGCCTGTTTTCCCTGTAATCAGATGATCTTGCTCATTCAATTTTTACTTTTTTTTTTTTTTGGTCAGTCATGGGGCTTGAACTCTGGGCCTGGTGCTGTCCCTGCGCTCTTTAGCTCAAGGCGAGTGCTCTACCTCTTGAGCCACAGCGTCACTTTCAGTTTTCTGGTGGTTTATTGGAGATAAGAGTTTCACGGACTTCCCTGCCCAGGCTGGCTTTGAACCGCAATCCTCAGATCTCAGCCTCCTGAGTAGCTAGGATTACAGGCGTGAGCCACTGGCGCCCAGCTAATTTTTACTTTTTTTAATATGGGAAAGACTGGTCAAAGTCTCCCTATGTAACCTAGGCTGACCTTGAACTCCTACTTCTGCTTCCCAGGTGATGGAATTACAGTTGTATACCACTATATCAGCACTTTTACAGTTTGTTTGTTTGTTTGTTTGTTTAGGTCTGGAAAGAAAACAATTCACAGTATGGATTAGATCCCAGGCCCCTGTCCCCCCCTACTCCCCAGGGCTTGAACTCAAGAGCCTGAGTGCTGTCCCTTAGCTTTTTTGCTCAAGACTGGTGCTTTGCCACTTGAGCCACAGCTTTTTGTTGCTGTTAAGAGTTTTATAGAAGCCAGACACTGGTGGCTCACATCTGTAATCCTAGCTACTCAGGAGGCTGATATCTGAGGATCATGGTTCAAACCAGCTGGAGCAGAAAAGTCCCCAAGAGACTCTTATCTCCAATTAACCACTCAAAAACTGGAAGTGGAGCTGTGACTCAGAGTGGTAGAGCACTAGCCTTGAGCAAAAGAGCTCAAGGATAGTGTCCAAGCCCTGATTTCAAGCCCTAGGATCTACATACACACACACACACACACACACACTCACACACACACACTCACACACACACACACACACACGCATTAAGTATTTTGTGCTTATCTTTTGTTATAATGTCTTTCAAGTATCATTCCTACTCTAGTTAACGGGAAACAGAAATTTGAGTGATAGAACCTATTCAAGGACTGTTATTATAAATTTAATAATCATGACATAATACTTCTGTACTATGCTTGGGAATAGTCTGTAATTCTAATTAGCTTCTAGTCCTATGAATTATAATTTGTAACTTTAATTAGAATTCACTCAAGATATGAGAGAACAAATATAGGGATTTCCAAGAACTACAGAATACTATATTAAAAAATCTGTACCAGCTGGGTGCTGGGCAGTCCTTGAACTGAGATCCTAATGCTTTGCCTCCTGAGTAGCTAGGATTATAATCATAAGTCACCTGCAGTGCCTGGCCTAAAGCAATTTCCTAGGTATTTCTTATGAATACTAAGTTTAGGAACTATTGAATTGAGATTTTTTTCCCTCCCTCTTATCTCATCATAATTTCCTTTTCATTTCCAGAATTACTGTTTGGCTTTGCTACCTTAGAGCATTAACATTTGTTTAAAACACACACACACACACACACACACACACACACACACCTCTGCTAGGTGCTAGTGGCTCACATCTGTAATCCTAGCTATTCAGGAGTCTGAGATATAAGGATCACGGTTCAAAGCCAGTCCAGGCAGGAAAGTTCATGAGACTCTTATCTCCAATAAACCACCAGAAAACTGGAAGTGGTGCTATGGCTCAAGTGGTAGAGCACTAGCCTTGAGTGGAAGAGCTGAGGAACAAGGCGCAGGCCCAAAGTTTAAGCCCCACAACTGACAAAAAAATAAAAAAATCTATACAGCTGGATATGGTGGTCCATGTTTGTAAGCCCAGCATTTGGGAGAATAAAAGTTTGAGGTCAGCCTAGGCTATTATAGTGAGCTCAAGGATAACCTCAGCTGTATAGTGAGACTCTGTCTTCAGTACAAAAGCAGTCAAGAGCTGGACATTTAGCTCAGTAGTAGAGTGTCTAGTATGTACAATGTCTTAAGTTTGATCCCCAACATTACACACACACACACACACACACACACACACACACACACACACACACACTCTATACCATCCTCTTCTGTAAAAATCCTGAAAGTAGCCTTGAGAACACAGAAGGACTTGATAAGTTTATATAGGAGACACAGTAAATCTGTGTTGATTACACTGAGTCTTGAAGGAGTAGGCATTGCTAGACAGCAGGAGGGCAAACATGTAATCTGGGTAGGGGGAACCTCTTAGACAATATCATGGTCCTTAGAACAGTTTGCTTTTCTTGGAATGTGAGGATGAGGGAGAGGACACCTAGAGAGGAGTGTGCGTAGGTAAAGACCACCTTTAGAACAGGTTTGCTGTAACATATTTTCAGTTGAATTCAAGAAGTGATTGGAAATTTTGAAAGAATTTTAAACAGGGAGTTTTGTAATAGTCCAAGGAAAAGATGATAGAGAACAAGAGGGAAAGCAGTAGCAGGAGAGGTAAAATGAGATGGAGAAGGGAACCAGCAGATGCTGCCATCAAATCTTGGCAGTTTGGAGGAACATGTTATTGTCATCTGTGATATAAGGATTCCCTCTAGCAACTGTTGAAATGACATTGCTTGCCAGGAGCAACTTGTATAGAGTTACTTGTTTGTTTCAAGGCACTTGTACATTAGCTAAGTTAATAAGCACTAGAAGATTACCAGTGCTTTGGTAACCAAAGAAATGCAAGCAAGGCGTGGGTAGCTCACATCTATAATCCTAGCTACTCAGGAGGCTGAGATTGAGGTGCAAAGCCAGTCCAGGCAGGAAAATGAGACTCATATCTCTATCAAAAGAGCCAGAAGTGAAGCTGTGGCTCCTGTGGTAGTGTCTAGCCTTGAACAAAAAAAGCTTAGGGAGGACTGGGAAGGTGGCTCAGTGGTAGAGTGTTTGCCTTGCATGCATGAGGCCCTGGGTTCGATTCCTCAGCACTACATAAGCAAAAAAGAAAAAAAAAGTCAGAAGTGGTGCTATGGCTCAAGTGGTAGAGCACTAGCCTTGAGTTGAAGAGCTGAGAGACAATGTCCAGGCCCAGAGTTCAGGCCCACGACCAACAACAACAAGAAAAAAGCTTAGGGACAGCACCCCAGGCCCTGAGTTCAATCAAGCCCCACAACTGGAACAAAAATAAATTAATTAAATAAGAGAAAAATAAAAAAATACTAGAAATCTATATATATTTTAAAAATTCAGGTGAGTAGATTGGGTATAGAAGTACATAACTCTAATCACATCTCACACCACTTGGGAAGCTGAGTCAGAAGGATCAAGAGGTTGAGGCCAGCCTGGGCTATATATATAATACCACCCTGAATCCAAACAAAGTTGGAATGGGGCTGCGAGTGGTATGATTTAGTGGTAAAATGTTTGTATATCATATACAAGGCTCTGGGTTCAATCCCTAGCATTGTAAAGAGAAAAGTTCTGTGGAATGTGAAATCAAATATAAAATCTAATTTCTCCCAGACTTTATTAATAGAAGACATTTGAACATCATATCAATATTTCCCATCTTCTACTGCCAAATTATTTGTTTTCTGAACAGAGTCCTTGGGCCCAAAGCCGAAATGCAGGTGGAAGGAAGATCTCTGAAAGCAGCTATTCACTGGATGACTTGGAAATGGGCCCAGGTAAGCAAAGAGTATGTATGTGTTAAGTCCTCTAAAGAACACTCATTAGTGGCAATGCCTTTTAGACTCAAAGCCAATGCTTTTAAAGGAAGAATGACACAAATTAAAAGAAAGTCTGCCTGGGAGGTACTAGCCATCTCCAAATTTCATTATTCTCTATAAATAGCTTTTCTTGTACTTTTAATCCTTGTCAATAGTAACTTGTAGTAACCAAAAGATACTTTTGAAGGGCTATAGTACTTTTGGTTCCACAGTCATCTGCAATTTGAGGGCTTCAATAGATGGGCTCTGTCCTTATCAAGGTTATATGATGGTTGGGGTTATGTCTTAGAGGTAGACCTAGTTATGTACAAGGCCCTGAGTTTGATCCCCAAAACTACAGAAAGAAAGAAAGAGAGAAAGAAAGAAAGGAAGGAAGGAAGGAAGGAAGGAAGGAAGGAAGGAAGGAAGGAAGAAAGGAAGGAAGGAAGGAAAAGAGAGAGAAAGGATTGGTTAACTTGTACTCCTAGTGATAATACAACACCTTGAAAGAAGAATTATGTTTTGGGAAAGGGGCATACACAAGTATATCACAAAAAAATTAATAAGCATAAGAAGATCACTAGACTTCAATAGCCAAAGAGATATAAATTATCTAATTTTTCCTTTATGTTAAATCAATCAGAATTTAAAGCAAACAATGTTCAATTATGATAAAGGTTCTTCTAGTGTTAGGAACTTAACTGAATATTATTGTATAAAAAATATCAGTTATACGGGGGCTGGGAAGGTGGCTCAGTTGTAGAGTGCTTGCCTTGCATGCAAGAGGCCCTGGGTTCGATTCCTCAGCACAACATAAACAGAAAAGGCTGGAAATGGCATGTGGTTCAAGTGGTAGAGCTCTAGTCTTGAGCTGAAGAGCTGAGGCACAGTGCCCAGGTCCAGAGTTCAAGCCCCACGACCAACCAAAAAAAAAAAAAATCAATTATAGCCAGGCACTGCTGGCTTTAGCCTATAATCCTAAATATTCAGGAAGAAATATTCAGGAAAGTCTGTCAGACTCTTATCTACAACTAACCACCAAAAAGCTAGAAGTAGAGTTGTGGCGCAAATGATACAGTGCTAGCCTCAAGCAAAGAAGCTCAGGTACAAGCCGAGTGTCAGTGACTCATGCCTGTAATCCTAGCTACTCAGGAGGCTGAGATCTGAGGATTGCGGTTCAAAGCTAGCAAGACTCTTATCTCCAATAAACCACTAGAAAACTGGAAGTGGTGTTGTGGCTCAAGTGGTAGAGCGCTCGCCTTGAGCTGAAGTGCGCAGAGACAGCGCCCAAGCCCAGAGTTCAAGCCCCATGACCGACAAAAAAAAAAAACAAAGGCAATTAGAAGCCAGGTGCTGGTAGATCATGCCTACATGGCTATAATCCTTAATATTCAGGAGGATGATACTTAAGGATTAAGGTTCAAAGCCAACGAGGTAGATAAATCTGAGATGTTGTATTTAGTTAACCAGCAAAAAGACAGAGTAGATGAGTGGCAAAAGGGGTAGAGTGCAAGTTGTAAGAGAAAAAAACTAAGCAAGAATATTAGGCCCTCGGGCTGGGAAGGTGGCTCAGTGGTAGAGCACTTGCCTTGCATGCATGCAAGAGGCCCTGGGTCTGATTCCTCAGCACCACATAAGCAAAAAGGAAAAAGCCAGAAGTGGCACTATGGGTCAAGTGGTAGAGCACTAGCCTTGAGCTGAAGAGCTGAGGGACAGCGCCCAGGCCCAGAGTTCAGGCCTCACGACCCGACCCCCCCCCCAAAAAAAAGAATATTAGGCCCTGAGTCCAAGCCCTAGTAGTTACATGTACATGCGCGTGTGCGAATGCGCACATGCGCGTGCACACACACACACACACCCTACAGAAAACTCTATTCCCAATTTCCTTTTTATACTTTTAATTTCCATTAGATTATAATAGCCACAAACTTAGAGTCTCAACACCATTGGAATCTCATTTTACACAAAGCATATTATTCTTCTAGGTCATTTCTCATCCTCTGCCTTCTACTCGGAGAAAAATGAGATTAAGCGAAATCTGGAACTCCCACGCCTCTCAGAAACCTCCATAAAGGATCGAATGGCCAAGTATCAGGCTGCTGTGTCCAAACAAAGTTCAACCAACTATACAGTATGTGTTTTGTATCATTTCTTCACTCAATCCTCCAGCCAGTGGTCATTAAGTACTAGAACTAGACTGTGTCTCTTGGACCCTTATTCCTGAGCCCTGGGTCACCTAGCCAGTCTCTCTTCATATAAATCCTACCTTCACTTCATTTATAATCCTTGCCTTCTTCAAAACCTGTGTTCTCCTAGATCATCCAATTCCTTTCTTTTTTATTTATTTTCCTTTTTTTTTTGGTTGGTCATGGGGGCTTGAACTCTGGGCCTGGGTACTGTCCCTCAGCTCTTCAGCTCAAGGCTAGTGCTCTACCACTTGACCCATAGTGCCACATCCAGTTTCTTGGTGTTTAATTAACGATAAGAGTCTCATGAACTTTCCTGCCCAGGCTGGCTTCAATCCTCAGAAGTCAGCTTCCTGAATAGCTAGGATTACAGGTGTAAGCCACCAGTACCTCCTCTGTGTGTGTGTGTGGAGGGCGGGGGGAGGGGGGGTTGCTGGTGCTTGAATTTAGGATCTGGGTGCTGTCCCTGAGCTGTTTTGCTCAAGGCTAGCATTCTACCACTTGAGGTACAGCTCTGCTTTTGACATTTTGGGCAGTTAATTGGAGATAAAAAGTCTGACTAGGCTGTCAGATCTCAGCCTCCCTGAGTAGTTAGTATTACAGGTGTGGTATTACAGTGTGAACCACCCTTGCCTGGCATCCACTTCTTTTTCGTTTGACATTATCACTGAGTTTTCCTGTAACTTCTTTTTATCTTTTCATTGTTGTTGTTAAGAAGTTGCATTTTATTAGTTTTCATAGGAATATTTTGATTTTTTTTCTTTTTACACAAACACACTCTGGAGTACAGGATTATTACAAGTTTATAGGCATGGGTTACTATGCCTGGCCTTGTTTTTGTTTTTGTTTTTGTGGTGCTTGGGACTTTCAAATGCTAGGAAAGCACTGCATACCTAGGCTATGTCATCAGCCTTTATTTTGTTTTCTGGGTTGTTTTGACAGTACACACGTGTGTAGGAGTCCTCTACCACTTGAGCCCTACCCCATCCCTTTTTTGCTTTAATTAGCCACACCCATCCCTTTTTGTTTTAATTATTTTTGCATATAGAATCTTGTGTTTTTGCCTGAGCAGGACTGGACCTCAATCCTCCTATTTATGCCCCCTGCACAGCTGAAATGACAGGTTTACACAACTACACCAAGTGTTAGTAAGATGAGGTCTAACTTTTGCTAGGGTTGGCCTCAAACTGCTAATCCTCCCAATCTCTGCTTCCTGAGTAACTCTTTATTTTGACTTTGATAGCAAAAGGAAAATTTGAAGGCGATATTGGCTCACAGCTGTAATCCTAACCAAGAGGGTGAGATGTGAGGATTGTGGTTTGAAGTCAGCCTGGGCAGGAAAGACCTTGAGACTCTTATCTCCAATTAACTACCTAAAAACAAGAAATGGGGCTGTGGCTCAAAATGGAAGAGCACTAGCTTTGAGAAAAAAAAAATGCTCAGGGACAACACCCAAGCCCTGAGTTCAAGCCCTATAACTGAGCAAAAAAAAAAAAAGACAAAGAAAAATTTATATTAGAAATAGCAGATGCATTCAACAATAATGTGTTTTGCAATTATTTTATTAAGATATAACTCACTTAACACAAAATCATCATTTTTAATTACAAATGTGATTTTTTTAATATATTCACAAGGTTATATATTGTCACTACTGTTTATTCCAGAACATTCTGTCATCCCAAAAGAAATCCCATTCCTAAACCAGGTGCTGGTAGCTCACGCCTGTAACCCTGGCTACTCAGGAAGCTGAAGTCTGGGGATCACAAAGCCAGCCTAGGCAGGAAAGTCCATGAGACTCTTATCTCCAACAAACCACTCAGAAAACTGGAAGTGGCACTGTGGTTCAAGTGGTAGAGCACTAGCCTTGAGCTGAAAAGCACAGGGACAGCGCCCAAGCCTAGAGTTCAAGCCCCACGATCAACAAAAAAAAAAGGAAAAAAAATCCCTTTCCTATATGGTTACTCAGCTTAGTCTCCTTTTTGTTTCTACCGATATGCCTATTCCTATTCCAGACATGCTGCAAAAAGGAACCATGTAAGGGTTGGGAATATCACAGTAGTATAGCATTTACGTATCATATGTGAGTCCCTGGGTTCAGTTCCTGGTACTATAATCTTTAACCCTTATGATATAAATGATCTCCTTCATAGGTAGAATATAATAATAGATTAATAAAGAGAGAAATGACTTTGAACTGTGATCCTCAGATCTCAGCCTCCTGAGTAGCTAAGCATTACAGGCATAAGCCACTGGCGCCTGGCCCGGGCAAGAAAGTCCCTGAGACTTTTGTCTCCAATAAACCAATAGAAAACCAGAAGTGGCGCTGTGGCTCAAGCTGTAGAGTGCTCTCTCTCTCTCTTTTTTTTTTTTTTTGGTAGGTCGTGGGGCTTGAACTCTGGCCTTGGGTGCTGTCTCTGCTCTTCAGCTCAAGGCAAGCGCTCTACTGCTTGAGCCATAGCGCCGCTTCTGGTTTTCTATTGGTTTATTGGAGACAAGCGCCCGGCAATAGCGCTGTCCTTGTGCTGAGGAGCTGAGGGACAATGCCCAGGCCCAGAGTTTAAGCCCCATGATCAACAAAATAAATAAATAAACAAATAAATTTTAAAAAGAGAGAAATGACAGGGAAATAATATGCTCAGAAAGTGCAACAAATTGGTATTGTTTTGTTTTGTGTGTTTACTTTCAAGATTGGTATTGTTTTGAGTGTTTACTTTCAAGATTAACAAAGGTGTTATGACTTAACAATGTTGATCCAAGTTTCCAGTTCTTCCTGTTCAGTCACCTCTAGCATTATTCTATATCCCATCTGTGTCTTCCCCTCATGGCTTTTTTGTTGTTATTGTTTTTTCTTTTTTTTTGTCGGTCGTGGGGCTTGAAATCTGGGCCCGAACACTGTCCCTGCCTGCGCTCTTCAGCTCAAGGCCAGCGCTCTACACTTGAGCCAGAGCGCCACTTCCAGTTTTCTAGTGGTTTATTGGAGATAAGAGTCTCACGGACTTTCTTGCCCGGGCTGGCTTTGAACCTGGATCCTCAGATCTCAGCCTCCTGAGTAGCTAGGATTACAGGCGTGAGCCATCAGTGCCCGGCTGTTGTTTTTTCTTTTTTTTAATTTTCTTTTCTTTTTGGTCAGCTTTGGGGCGTGGACTCTGGGCACTGTTCCTCAGCAATTCAGCTCAAAGCTAGCACTTGGTACCGCTTGAGCTACAGTGCCGCTTCTGACTTTTTCTGCTTATGTGGTGCTGAGGAATCGAACCCAGAGCCTCATGCATGCAAGGCAAGCACTGTACCACTGAGCTACCTTCCCAGCCCCAGGGCTGTTGTTTTTTCTTTTGTCAATCATGAAAGTTAAACTCTGGGCCTTGGACTGAGAAGATGGCTCAGTGGTACAGTGCTTGCCTTGCATGCATGAGGCCCTGGGTTTGATTCCTCAGCATCACATAAGCAGAAAAAGTCAGAAGTGGCACTGTGGATCAAGTGATAGAGTACTAGCTTTGAGCTGAAGAGCTGAGGGATAGCACTCAGGCTCGTTCAGACCCTATGACCTGAGCACTTTTGCTCAAGGCTAATGTGCAACCACTTTGAGCCACAGTGCCATTTATGATGCTCTGGTGGTGAAGTGGAGATAAGAATCTCATGGGCAGGGGCTGGGAAGGTGGCTCAGTGGTAGAGTGCTTGCCTTGCATGCATGAGGCCCTGGGTCCGATTCCTTAGCACCACATAAGCAGAAAAA